CGGTTGAGTTGTCCGAATTCTCCGACATGTGGTCCATTCGCACGAGCACGTTGGACGATCACTTTGCGAGATCACTATAATGCACTCATAGTTCCCCCGTCATAATTAGCGGACTACAGGCCTCCATCAGCCCACAGGCGCTAAAGAGGCCCATGTACACTAACTTTGCTTCAACCTGTATTTCCTGTTTTTGACATGCATATTGGTATCACCCATTTATTCCCACATCAAAAATGAGTCTGGGGTATTGAAAACTGAATATCTTCTTATCAAACCAGTGCCATTGAGATGTGGTTGTGTGGTACGGATCTTCCCTTATCACTAAACCCCGTGGTCCAAAGATTGGCCAACATTTATGGATCATGGAAAACCTGTTTCTCACATATTTTCTTAGTCTGTGGCAGATAGACAGCTATTTTTTTTTTCCTGTTCACGCACAGGTAACTAGGGATACATTGCCCCATGCAAGTGCTAGAAGCATAATATCCACCCATCCCTTTCCTTCGACATCGTGTTGCATATATGAAATCTTGGTGCCAAGGAGGGGTTCAAGTTACTCGTTGTGCAACTTTCCGGCCGGGCTACAATGTAGAGAACGGAGAGGAAAAAAAGGAGGATAAACAGAAAGAACCAAAAAAAGGGGGTCTAGAACATGAATTAGATTGATCATACTACACTGTTATCAAGACCTTTTTGACACGTCCTGGAACCGTGGATCAAGTCTACAAAAATGAACTTGTCTGCGGTGGAACGTCGAGGGTTTCCTTTCCCGCTCGCTACACGACCATGGTCCAACTACGTAGTCAAAAGAAGAAGTTTCCCAGTTTATGTATGGAATCCCACTGTGACGTGCATTTGAACATTGTGCACTGTACTCCGGAGTTTGGTGGATCTATATCATAACATGGGCCCCACCGAGGGTGCCGCCAAAAGCCGGGACTAAGATAATGGAGATATGGAGTATGGAGATTGGAGATAGTAGTAGAAGATGCTCGGATTGGAAATCCGATTATTGTACGAACTGAGTCCAGAGCCTATTTCAATGTCCGAATGCAGATCCGAAATCACGACTTATAGATGTAATTGTATACAATAAAAATGTCGTGGTAATTCCACGCGGATAGTCCATGATGTCAAGGCGCATTTGATAGTCCCCGATTGCCTTGGTTTTTGTCCACTTGGCGGGAGGTCTGGACCCCCGGTCGCCCGTGCAGCATATTACCTACTATTTTTTATTTATCCAAGGCATTCATAAATTCTTGGTATCATGATGCCTCTTTATTGATACTTGCTATCTCTTCCAAAAAGCTAAACTGGCAGCTTGGAAATATATTATAGAGTAAGAGTCGTATACTCTTGCCAAGTACTATATCTGAATTGGTTTTCCGCGTTTCACCATACTCTCTCCATGTCTCACCAATGAGTTGTACCAGGTCAAATCCATTATAATTTCCAAAGTGTAAGCCATCCCGAGCTCTAGACTATAGAATCGAAGCTATTCTCGTTAAACGCCTACGCCCGGACCACCAGCCCCTTTGTTATGTCTTAGCGTCGCAGAGTTTTCCCTTTTGCCACTCCATTGAACTATCCCAACAAAACAGGTGGCTGTCGGTGGCTTTCATTTGGCGTTATGGCGGCGATTTGTTTTTTTTATTTCAGGATCTCCTCGGAAATCTCACGAGATTGGCGAAACCCTGAACCCCCATGCACGGTGGGTACCCCAAAGTCTGGTTGTGACAGTCTCGAACCCTTCTGATCTGCACAAGGCTATTGCTGATCTCCAGATTTTTCCCCCCTCCTTTTCATGGAGTTATCCCGCAAAACTCTGCCAGGTATCCACTGACTGAATATGGGTAGTCCAGCCTACGGGCGTACCCGATACATCTTCTGGATCCTCATTTCCAATATGAACGTCTCGGTGAAGCGACAAGGTCGCAACATTCCGAGCTGCAAGGCGATAACGTCCGCTTAGCCCCTTCTTGCCGAGAGCCAGAAAACTTCCGTGCGCTTTTTGTTTTTTTTTTTTTTTTGTTTTTGCTTTTTTCTTTTCTTTTCTAATTTGATCCCGAAATCTGAGAACCCCTCCATCGGCTATCCGGTTCACGGGAAACCCGAATCCAGTCATGGCCCGCAACCCCTTGGATACATAATAAAACGTGTTATAGGGTCGAAGCGCCGAAGCGGTCAGATTAGAACCTATCAGAAGTATACTATGCTCATGTGTGAACCTTGAGATCACAGAGTTCAGCCTTAGGATCTTACTTTCTGATGGAATCGGAGTCCTTCGCTAATCTATTCATGAAACGATCGCCCAGATGCGATCTCACATTGCAATTTGCAATTTGAACCTTCACAAATTGACCCATTTTCTAACGGAGTGGTGTGCTCCTGGGAATCCACCTCGTCTAGCAGACGACAATTCCAAACTGTAACTCAACCCGAGGGCGTTACTGTGGCTGAACTCAGACTTCCATCGCCGGCCCAGTTTCCGAGAATCATCTCGCGCAATTCAACCCGACACTGCTAAGAATAAGCTTCCCCTGCTTCACCTTGGTGGTAAAACGCGCACCCGCTTTGGGCAGCGGGCCTGTCCAGACTGCAGTCGCTGCTTGCCAAGAACAAAAGGAAATGAAACGTGAATAGTATGCATTAACGAGACCAGGGCTGTGAAATGAGAGAGGGGCAGCGCGTTTCCTAGAGAGCTTTAGCTACCCCGCGTGGATATCGCTGGCGTCAGCTCTTGCATTCACGATACATATTGCGAACTCGGAGTTGATGCGGAGCCCGGGTATCGGAGCGACGCTGACATGCGTTCTGATCCCTTTTCTTACCCCGCGAGTTATAAAGTTATACCCCAGGACCTTGCGTCTGGTTGGCAATGATTCGGTCTGTAGGATCTTCCAATGAGAGATGGTGGTTTGCGCACTATGGTTGTAGAAATAGAATCTTGCCCGGATATCCTCTTCGGAGCACATTTGAATACACCCGATGGCAAAGTGTATGCAACTTTCCGAGTAGACCTCCATAGGACAATTGGACGTTGTGATATGCCAACCCTCCCAATTATTCATGTGTTGCACAGAATAGACGTTTCAACCCATTTCAACTCTAGGCATTTCAAATTTATGATGCAAGATAGAGAACTCGACCATGATTGGCCCACAGCTGCTGATAGCTCGAGAATAAGAACATCGCACGCAAGCAGCGCATATGGGCTGACTATGCAATGTCGCACGTCACGCAAATCCTAGACGCACCTCTTCTGCAATGCACTGCACCGAGCAGCACCTGACCTTCCAACATCCCTGCAAGCCACACACGTTCCCAAGGGGCATCTGTATCCCGGACGTTGTATATCCAAAGGGAAAAAAAATGTTGAGGAAGTGGCACCACCTTACACATCTTGGCATCCAACAACCACTGGCAAGACCGGGTAGACGATCAGGGACAGCCGCTTTAGTCGATTCGATATACGTCTAGGTGGTATACATGATGCGTCAAGTCGAGGGACAGCACGGGCCTTTGATGTTCGTGCATAGTAACATTATATCAAAAACTAGTTAATACACACTTGCGAAAGCCTATACTGCGGACAACTAGTAACCTCACTCAAAGTAAGTATATTGTAAGTATACCTTGGCCCCGCCCCACGCTTATGCACAGCATGCGAGAAAGGACCCAGCGCCAAAGCAACCCCCACCAAGTTCGAACACCGGCCAGAACGGAGGCGCGGTAGTCAGTGCGCGCGATCCCGGAGCTACGACTCGACGGTGCGGTGATAGTGGGGCGTGGATAGCTTGATTGTGCATAAGGCGTTGCATTAGTGCGGCGAACTGACAATTGCTATGCATGACGGGGTCAGTGCATGGGTGTTCTGGGCTGTTGGATGTGGGTTTCATCTCAGGGGTTTCACGTTGATATGTTGGCATTTTATACTTTGCGCTATCCATTGTAATTGTTCTGGGGAAAATGATTTTCAATGTGCAGGTGTACCCCGAAGTCGCGGGGTTTTATCTCCACATTTCCCCCTGCAAGTCAATTCGTGTGACAAGTTGAGTGAGAGATTGCGTGAAAATCAATTGATATCTCGGCCAAGTTGTTAACTATGAGTCAGTGCACTAGTTCTATCACTAAAAATGGAACATATATATTACCTAAAAATCAAGCCACAAATAGAAAAATAGCACTCGGTTAGAAAAGCGCCGAAGCTAGAGGATTGGTTGATTTGGGCCCGTTATCATTCCACCGACGGGAGAGGCGTTTCCCGTCAGCGTTATAGACAAACGCCCATTTTTGATACGAGAATTAACGCCCACTGTCAAGCCCTGAAATTCGGAAATTCGGGAATTTGGCCCTCCTTGTCCATACTGTGAATACACATGGACATTCAAAATTTGCACTTGAGACTGAGATAAGTACGCGGGGTAGGAGAATCCTTTTGGGGCCTGGAATGGACGGGGATAGTGATGAAGTCGCTCATCTGTGGGGTTAAAGGGGGGCTAAGAGGCCTGAGTAATAATGATCGCTGCTAGGGTGATCATTTACTCTTTCTTGTTGCTTCTATCAAAGTAGTTTGGTAGGCCAATCATACTCTTCCTTTCCTCTAGAATTGAAAGAGGTCCAAGAGACGAAAAGAACCATCCTAACATCCTATTGACCTGGCTAGTTGTTCCAATTATGAAGACCCCATGTCCAGGATAGAGGCATAACTCAACTATGCCGACCAAACCGAAAACCTTGTACTTTCGCACCTCCTGAACACAGATACAGTGTGCGCGGATTCAACGGGCGCTATCTGCGGAGATGAGCATAGCTTGTAGCCCTGCGCCTCTCGATTGCGGGGTGCATCTGCCACCTCATACTGTCCGAGCGATATTATCGCCTTGCCGTTTAATAGCCTTTCGAGGTGTTTTATACAAACAGCTGACAATGCAGGCATCACGAGACAAGGCAAGTAAAGCCCCTCAAACTGATAACGCACTAGCTGACGAATAGACCTGATGTTCCTACCGTCCGAGACCCCCAGAGCTATCCTCTCCTCCCTATTCTCAAGCCACAACGGGAGCCATGAGCGGGCCCTAGAAGCCGAGCTTGACACAGACCTTCCCCACACTTTCACTGTCATGCTCACGCAGATGATCACAACATGCATTTCCCGCCGGAAGATCCGTGAGGAAAGACGTGAGGAAAGACGTGAGGAAAGACGTCTAACTCCCACGCGAGATACACCGAAGCATAAAAAAAAAAGTTCGCCTTCACATGATACTCATAATGGCATCTCTAGTTCCGACGTTCCGGCCTCATGTGCTCAGACTCCGAGGAAATGTTATTCCAAAGTCAATTCTTCGTCTTCTGGCAGCCACCCTCCTCACCGCTACCAACGATAACCAGATCAACCCATAGGAACAATGGAAACCTGCCGACAAAGTCTGTCACAAGAGAGGCGAGGTCTAGAAAGACTTCTCCTCATCCGCTTTTTTTCTTCTTTTGTTGGGGTTATCATCCCTCACCCCACCCTATGTGGCGACGAGACTAATAAAACTCGACTGAAACCTTTTTCTTCTCGGCCGGCCTGGTCCTGCTCAGGGACCGGTGCTCGGACTTGTATTGCGTTGTCACCAGGAGGTACCTCTGTTTTTTGGGAATGGACCGTGCGAGTTGTGCTTCCATGGCGTTGAGGGACGTGTCCTGCATCTTTGCCGCCACTGTGTCGGCGAATGAGTAGTTTTGTCGGACGGCGAAGAATAGGACAGATCCCTATAGCCTAGTTTAGAACACGCTGTGCAGACTTGAAGTACCGGCATCGGGTGATTTGAATTTTGAGTCCGTTGACCGCTTGGTCTTTTTCATGAGAAAAAAAAGGGCATAGAGATTTATTTTCGCTAACTGGGCTTCTTTGACACAATGCCTTTGTTTAGTATATACCCTGCCGGACTTTCCTTCTATGAGGATCCCTCAGTCGAGTTGACTATGCTTTGGAATTTGATGGTCAAGACCAGTTACCCAGCTACCAAGGGATCTCAATTAGATCCATGTGCAGCAAGATGTGTTGGCTGATATTCTTTGTTTTGCTCTAGCAATCCTACCTAGGCTACATATTATTCCAATTTGAACAAGGGAATCTCCCAAGAAATTGCATGTTTAGATATATGTATTCTGCTAAAACCTCTGAGGCCATTTCCGCCTAAGGCCTACAACTGTTCAAAGAAGGCACCTGACGATGGAACCCATCTCCAATCTTCTATCTCCCATTTTCCATCTCCCCACATTGCTATGTTCAACCATTTTCATCAAGTTCCATCGGGTGTGCAGAAAGCTACCTGGCAACCACTTTGTAACAGTGGTAGGCAAAAATCCCTCAGGGCATATTCAAACACGAAACTGAGTTGAAGTTGAAAAAGTCGAAGTGTTGAAAGTGAAGGTGAAGCTGTAAGCGGGAGATCACCGATCCATTGGTGGAGCCAACTTCTGCCCACATTTACGATCCTTGGTCTTCACCCCCCTCTATTTACTTGTTTACTTCCGGAACTCCAAACTTGCTCATGTCTCAAGTTCAAAGTTCCGGATTGGCCGACCTTGAAAAAGAGCTGGTATGCTCTGTATGTGCTCCATTCCGCCCCCTTACGTTTCTGTTTCTAACACCGCTCTTTGCCTCAGATTTGTACCGAGCTCCTATACCAACCCCTCACTCTCCTCGATTGCCTCCATACTTTCTGCGGCTCATGCGTGAAAGAATGGTTCTCTGCGCAAGGGCTGCGTCGCCCCCGCGCCTCCCCTCGATTCACCTGTCCATCTTGTCGTGCTGAAGTGCGCGACACCCGCCCAAATGCTACCGTGACGACCCTGCTGGACATGGTCTTGACCGCACACCCAGATCGGGCAAGAGCGGCAGATGAAAAGGCGGAAATTGCTACTAGATACACCCACGGGGAGTCAGTGTTTCCAGCACTTCCTTCGGGCGGGGAGAGTGCGGAGGAGGGCGAGGACGATAGACGTCTTCTGGAGGATGTACGCGAGCTGAGTCTACGCGAAAGTCGGTTACAAGCTAGGCGCGAGGCCCGGCGGATGGGTCAATCTTCGCGGACGCGTGAGAGGAGCAGCCATACCGAGGGGCCTACGGAGGACGGTCGGTCCAGGCGTCGGAGGGATGATGATACGACGCGGCAACAACGTACATTACGGCCCGATGATTCGGAGCGCACGCGACGGATCGAGCATCAATCCAGTCTGCGGTCATTATTGAGTTTATCCTCTGATGCGGAGACTATGGAGGAAGAGATCTTGCGGCAAATTCTCGAGGACGGATTACTGGATAACATCAACCTCGATAATCTCGGCCCAAGGCAAGAAGAGGAACTCAGTGAACGCATCGCGGATGCTTATCGCCGGAGGCATATGCAAAGGTCGCAGTCTCGTCAGCGACAAGAACAAGGACAAGAACCCCGGCAAGAGCCTGACGGAACTGCGCGAACACATGCGAGGTCCGAGTCCGCCCATAGGACTACGGAACCAGCGGCGGGTACCCGAGAGCACAATGTTAGAAGACCGCCAATTTCCAGACCGCATCTGTTCGATTCGGCTCCCACGCGGCCCAGCGTAGGACATCAAAGACGCAACTCGGAACAAGTGGGTGGGCGCCGAAGGACCTCGCCCGTCCGAACAAATCAGGCGTCAGCATCAGATGAAGCCATAAGGCCTGCTGCCCGATCCTCGAGTGATATGACTGCGGATCGCCGCGTCTCTCGGGCTGGGCGCTTACGATCAGAGTCATCATCATCCAGGCCGCGACGTGCCACAGAGTCTGAACAGAATCTCTCTAGCACGTTGGTGGCCGGAGAACGAGAACGAGGCTCCTCTAGACAGACCAGGAGTCAATCAGCCACGAACTCTCCCACTTCTGGCTCTGGGAACTCAAATGCATCCCGCCATTTGAGCCACACGGACCACACCCTTCCGTCATTATCTTCGCCCCTTGTTCCAAACCGGTCAGAGAGACGAACAAGACCATCTTCGTCCCGATCCAATGTTCCTGCTTCTCCCACTGTACAATTCCCAGAGCCGTCTATCTCTTGTGACCGTTGCGGAAAGGACAACATCCAATATAGTCTACACAAGAGATGCACAAGTTGCAAGGAAGGAAACTTCCACCTGTGTCTACGATGTTACCGCTTGGGACGTGGCTGTCTTCGATGGAGCGGATTCGGTGCCTCCGCACATACGACATTTCAAAGAATCATATCGTCGTCTACTCGACGCCCTGTACAAATTAATGACTCAGGTCATATCTTACTGTGGTTCAAATATCAGCGGCCCTCCGAGACTTCTCATAAAACGATGAGCGGAGAGAGACAAATGACGAGCGACAACCCCGTCCGCCGGCTACAAAGTGGCCTCTTCTGTGATACCTGTCAATCGTCGGCAAACGATTGTTTTTGGAAATGCAACCAGTGCAACGAGGGGGACTGGGGGTTCTGTAACTCCTGCGTCAACCAAGGACGATGCTGCACCCATCCCCTATTGCCAGTCCGGCGCATTACCCATAGTCCACCTCCATCATCATCATCGTCCACCACGCCGCCGCCAGCTGAATCAAATACCCTTCCCACACCATCCGAGATCGAGAGCTTCAAAATTCTCTCATTCTCAACAAATTGCGATATCTGCACATATCCAATCCCAGCCTCAAATACCCGCTACCATTGCCTAGAATGCAATGGCGGTGACTACGACGTCTGTACAAACTGTTACCTCAAACTAGTGGCAACGGGCAAAATCAACAAAGAGAACGGACACAACGGCTGGCGCCGCTGCCTCGCCGGCCATCGTGTGATAGTAGTCGGTTTCGAAGACCACGAAGAAGGCCAGCGCCGTGTTATTGTCCGCGACCTTGTGGGTGGCCGCGCCCTAAAAGACGAGCATGTAACACAATCACAATCACAAACTTCCTCGCCAGCAACCGGCGGCCCCGTTGCATCCCCGGAGTTCGGAAACGGTGATTGGAGTTGGAAGGACGGACCCGAGCGCCGTAAGAAAGCATCCCGTCTGCGCGCCGGACCTGCCCCCATGAACGATACCAACAGAAGTTCTGTCTCTGTCCCTGATTCCTCAAATTCACTCGTTTCCAGTGCCACCGCGACCCCGATTCAGGGTATCCCGCCCTTCCGTCGCTTCCCGCCTGACGGTGGTGTCGGACTCGTCGTCCACGCTCTATGGTCCTGGTACCCGGAAGAAGAAGTCTCGGACGAGCTTGTTTTCCCGCGCGGTGCGCATATCACCGAGGCGGAGAATATTAACGATGATTGGTTCTGGGGATGTTATGCTGGTCGCACGGGACTCTTTCCTGGTTCGCATGTTGAATTCGTCAGGGAGGTCCTCAGGTAGTATAGATCGCCTTGGCCTTTTTGCGTTTGATGATCCCACGCACCTATGATACGCACGACATGCATCGTATACCCGTTCTGCTTTTTTCTCCGCCCTTTTTTCTACGTCTTTTCCTTGCATGGTTATGATAATTATGATCGTCGGAGTGATGAATTTAAATGCTGCATCTGCATTTCCTCTTATTGCAGACATAGTATATTGTTAGAGTCAATGAGCCATGGACAATATCTATTTCCCCCATGATATACGGAGTACTCGAATATAAACCCTGAGATGGTATCCCTGCAATTAGAACTATTTGCCAACATACCGAACACATAGACCGATAATCACACCAATGATAGCGCCAACCAGAATGCCTATGCAGAGATGCACGCCACAATACTTCACCACACGTGCCTTGGAACCATATTTCCACTCATCGATGAAGCTTTTGTTGGTGTAGAGACGGCGCTTTGGGGGCTGCTCGGGCAATTTCTCAACATCATAATCAGCCCCGTTCGAAGGAGATGGGTGTGCGTGGGTCTCTTGCTTCGTAGGCTCCATCCTGTGTGGTACAAAAAGTCGGACTGGGCCAACTGCTGGACGTGCTTTGGGGCTCATTAATACCTGCAAGTTCAAAATCCAATGGAATTTTCGGAGCCTAATCTCACCTTTACTTGATTTTCTTGTTCCTCTTCAGTTGAATGGCAATGATTTTTGATCTGCGTCGCGAGAAGGGGTGTTGGATGGGACCGTCTCGATCGTGGAAACGTTTCTTATAGACTTCTGTTTGAATGCAAAAGGGCAAGAAGAAGGAAAGTAAATAATAGGAATGCTAGATTACAAGTCGGATCAACCGCCTGGTTTAAATGGGAGAACGCCCGACTGCTACAAGACGATCCGTAAGAGAATGTTAGCTTGATACATCTGTTGGGTTTGTGGGTCTCTAAGAGGATCTACATTGGCATCAATATAAAATCTAGGAAGGTCAGCCTTGACTCCCTATGACTATGCCAGCCACCGGCAACGTCCACGACCAAAACACTAAGACATGAAGGTAAGCTGAGTGTTTATATTTGCGAGTACGTTGTCAATACTTATTGACTCTAGTAACTAATGACGTAGACCTTTTTCTCTTGATGATCTTTGGGGCCAGACGGGCTGTGGGTCGGGGGCCGTAAGAGTATTGTAAAATGTTTTAATCTACTTTGTACTAGTCCAGTCCAGGGGTTCAAATGTTTTTAGCCGGATAGTCACTGCTCCTGGTGCCTTAGTAGGTCTCACGTACCGTTCGTCTACAAATTTTGACTGGTAGAGAATGAGTCGGCCCTATGAACGCAATGACCCGAGAGTAATTCTAGAGAATATGTTAGATTCCTATTATACATAGGGATGTGAGAAGAGGAAGAAAATATCTATACAAATATCATAAACTGGATATGGCCTGTTATGGAGAATGCGAAAAGGATGCATTTCCCAACTGCCGTAGCTAACTAGCTAGAGCGGTGAGAGAGGCCTGAGTGCTCTTTTTCGGGCAAGGAACAAGTCACCCGAATCGGTTAGCTCGAGCCTGGGCAGTGAGACCCCCGCGAACTTCCACCTTCACATTAACACAATCTCTGAAGATATTCTTATGCAGCCCAGATCTTCAAAGTGAATCCCGCTATCTTTTCAATATCTGCGTATATTTCACCCCCATATCATCACCATCGGCACTCTCTTGATCACACAAACATATTCATCACTCGGCTGACAATCAATCATCCACTGGAAACCAGTCAGAGTGCAAGAGAAGACAAGTTGGGCCATTATGGGCTGGTTACGCCATATATTTGGCAAATTTTCTGCAATGTCGGAAAGGCAAAAACAGAAGAGGGCGAAGAAACGTCGGAGTAGAAATCATAGTCGACGAGTTCGAGAACGGGAGGAAGAATTAAGACGTCGACCGGGAGAAAAGGTGCCCTTTTTCCTTGGTTCACCTTTTAAAACATACGAAGTGAACTATCGCGGACCTGCGGCGGGTGCATGAAGGTCTTGCTCTTTTCGCGACTTCAACAATAGTGTTGTTAGAACGGAGTACTCTGTACACTGTTCCGAATCACTGTCTCGTCCATACCCCTTCATCGGCATCTCTTACTTTGAATATCGGCAAGAAACCCTCTGGACTTTCTACCCTCACTATCTCGCCAACAACAATGGTACGTCTCACGCTATACCATTACGATTACCTCGCTAAATACCAAGCCCGGCCCGAACTATGTCAATTTGGTCCGTGATTCAAAGTGCTCTAAACTTGTAACTATCAATGTCTCGTCAGTCTCCCTTCTGCACTATATCTTCATTGTAGAAACTCCCAACGTCCACAAATATAGGTAGTTAAAGAGATATAATCCGGCAGCAGTATAGGCAATGCTTTTTAGTATATGCTATGGATCCATTTCCTGCGCCCCTTATTCCCACACCTTGGAGCTGACCAAAATCACTCCTTTCTGGGGTATCCAAACTTTGGTAATTATAATTCTAATTTAACTTAAGCCGTGATCATGGTTCCCATTAACAATCTCCTGCGGCCACAAAAGCCAGCCTCGATACTTGGGATCCAACACAGAGTATATTTGTGTCATAAGGCGCGAGCTTAGACCTTCCATCCACCACATCCACTCGATCTGACGAATACATGCACACCAATGAGCAAATATAACGAGTGCAATCGGTGCTTCCTGGCACAAGAGGTTTAGATATTGATCTGAGACATCAAGCAGCCACCGGAAGACATCTGCGGTCTCGAGCCTCCGCATGAGTCCAGGCCTTATGGCTAAACCCAATGTCCGGGCTAGTTCATCCAAAGCCTCTTGATAGATAACTCGAAGTGACGGGTCAGCTGCGCATTCCCTCCATATCATTTGTTGCAATTCCCAAACATGTGGCTTGCCTTGCTCAAGGGCATGAGGTGAGCGATGGGCAGCAGCTAGATAAGATCCATTCGTGAAGATAGGTGCCAGACTCCCGGTACGCAGGTCTTCGCCGCCAGTATGGATAACAATATTTGTCCCTCGGAAAAGACGAGCCCACTCTGATAGATTGCCACGCTCAAAGAGGACCAGGAAATCGCCTTCTTCCGATGGCTTGGCGCAGGAGAACATGCACGTTAGAGAGGAGAAAATAAAAAGTGCTGCACCATTGTCTCGTGCGAGAGGGGAGACGAGCGGGATCATCTCTCTCACAGCGGTGGTGTGGTGCATCTGTGCGTGAGCAAGGCATGTTGCGCGTCGAGATTCATCGGAGCGAGCTAGATGTAGCGCAGAAAGTGCTAGCAATGTGCGCAATACTGGCGGCGTTGAGAATCCAATTCGAGGTGTTTCATTGCACCAGACGGTTTGCACAGCGGGGCTTCGCGACAGTGTGTAGCAGGTTGAAGTTGTCCAGTGGTGCAACAGTTCCAGGTCAAAAACGGCCAATGTGGAAGGGAACGGTCCTAATGAGGACAAACTTGGTAAAACTTGTGAGATTCCAAGTGCTGGGGCCCGAGTTATTCCAGATCCAGTGCTATCTGGGCCAGATAGTGACACAGGTGACTCTGCTGGATCCGCTTGTGGCGTGGAAAGAGCAGTTGAGGGACTGGCGAAGGAACAAGCCACCCCGTGTTTGTCACAGTTCCGGCAACGTGGCTGGATTTCGTCGCACTGACACAAAACTATAAGCTAGTACTCGACAGAAACATTATTCGATTTCTCACCTTGACCTTCCGCTTTTTGCATTGTAAGCATCCGGATCGCGATTTCCGGTGCGAACGGCGGCCTGGAGGTAATTTGTTCATGTCAATCACTAGCAGGTACCAGGCATCTATGGTGGACCCCGAGAGGCATTTAATATAAATTGTACCATTCAGAGGGAATTGAGGCGCCCATTCTACGGATTTTGCGGAGGCGCAGGTCTCGGCCAAGGGGCTGCGCTAGCCGTAATAAGCTAGCTTTATCAGATTTAGTGGGGGCATCATTCATAGTCTAGACCTCAAGATCCTCGGAATCGAGAAGCATACTCTAGGCTACGTGTGATCTGGCATAGATGAATCTAGTTTCAAGCAGACCGGTATAGATCGAGATATACATACGTACTTGCCATGAAATAAACCAATTTTGGACCCCTTTTCTAACACTGGAAGTCACCGAAAGAGAAACAAGCACACTAGAAGAACAAGAACGCACGGCATTTTATCTTAGTGCAGGTGTAGAACTATCAAAATGGCGTTTTAAACAAAAGACATAGTATTATATTCTAAATTTAAAATATATCTTTGTGTAGATATATATTTCATCGTGCTTTAATGGTGAGCCATTTCACTAGGAAGAACTCATCTTTCAATTTCCAAATTTCAATCAATCTTTGAATCTCTCAGTAATGTAGATAATCATACCATTTCAGTTTGACAGATTGTCATGGTTGACTTTCTTTAACTCTCATATTCAGGACCTGCGGTCAGATAGGGCGGTTGGAGACCTGTCCTGTTACGTGTCCACGCATCTCTAGTATGCGTTGCGCCTTGCATGTCATGTTTTGTGGTGTAAGCCTCGATAAGGCGACCACCATCCATAAAATGGAGGTCGAGCACGGCTCTCCACTTGACCTGCATGTATGACATCGGATGCACTGCACGGTATCCCGGCTTGAACTCTGGAAGCTGACCGCTCTTCTTTACCTAGTCTCTTTAAATGATGGAATGACCACCTATACCCACAGCATTATTCCCAAAGCCAGCGAATATTTGCAAGATCTTCTTATAGTAAGCACTTGGCACCATTTCATCTTCCCATTGGTCGTGCATACTGATCAACCCATGAAATAGATGCCTCGAGGAACTGGAACCCTGACAAGCGACAAAGGACGAGTCCTTGGTCAATTTGAAGTTGAAGGCGCTCAGTATATTTTCGTGGGGAACCTGACTGGCTTCGGACAGTCTTTCTCCATTCCCACTGCCGATGTCACCTATGACTCAGCCGACCAGTTACACAAACAGTCTGAAGATTTTGAAGAATTGCCTGTAGACAATGACCAGATTGAACTCAAACTCAAGAATGGGGTTTCGATCACGGGCGGTTTTGATATGCCCTTCAGCGATGGCGAGGTGAAGAAAGGGACCGTTCTTGGCGGTGGGGGGAAATGGTTGAAGCTGTGATTGTGACGAGCCATGACTGAATATGCAAAAGGTCTTCGAGATTATATTGAATCAAGGGGTCAAAGTGATGAAGTTGGCGATGTCCATTCTGTATACTCTATGTGAATGGAAGAAAGGTCGAAAGGGCAACAATTTCTTTAATTAGAAAAGGTAGAACCATGGTTACGAAACCATGAACCTTGGAACCCCATAGTAAATATTGGCAGACGTCAGCCCTCTAGAAAGCCGCAAGGCTGTGAGAACGCCCCCACCTGACTGCGCCACACTCGGGGCAGCCCGGCACATTATAAACAACCCCTCAGCCCTCAGCCCTGACAGTTCTTGTCTTTACAACAGTACAACAGCCTACCATGTCTTATCACCCCAATCGTGAGTGGCATTTGAAATGCAT